AAAAATTTATGGCTAAAACATCAAGGATTTATCTGAAAGTGGCACAGGAAAGGAAAAGGAAAAGAATGTCATTTGCTTTCTTTTTCCAAGACTGGATAAAGAACCAATAGCCAACCTTCTGTTTATTTGTCTTAAAGGGTAAATCCTATGGGTAAGCTATTCCACAACCTCATTTCCCCCACCGAAAAGATGTACAAACTAACATCATGTCTCCTTTTTTCTTATTCCAAGCACTTGTCTTGGCTTCTAAACATAATTCCCACTGTAAATGTCAATGCTGTATATCATATATGCCTGTAGAGATAAAAACGGGCAATGATTAGATCTACATTAAATAAAATCCTACTTTTGAAATGAGCCAACTTTGAATTTCTTAAACATTTTTTTTATTGAGAAAGCACCTTCGCCTCATGGTATTTCTTAGAAAAATATCAAAAGCAAATTCCAAATTAAGCATCTCAGAGCTTAAGAAAGGGTGAGGCCATGAAGAAATGACAAAACAGGATTTTTTTTCAAATAGTCTATAATTTAGATTCATTTATTTGACAAAGTAATGTTTTTAACCCAAAATTTAGTGCATTGTAACACTTTTTATTATTGAATACAATTTTTATTTATGTTAATATTAAGTTTAGTACATTTTTAAACTCTGTGGTTCAAAAAACAAAAACTAATAGAAGATAAACAATGAAAAATATCTCCCTCTCATCCTCATTTCTATCTGTCCAATTTCTTCCAACAGAAAACCAACATTTTTAGTTTCTTCTATATCCTGCCAGTTCTTTATGAATATTCAAGTGTAAAATCTATATTCACAAAAAGTATCTTACACAAAAGGGAACATATTTTACACACCATACTATATCTTGCTTTTTTCACTTAGCAAAATCAATTGTTTCTTGATTAATGAGGGACCATAGGGTTTGGGGGTATTTTTGGAACAAAGCCTTGTTACTTAGGATTTTTTGGTAATCATAGGATTATTGCACATATGCTTGAGATCATAACTATGTGTTACTTATAATTTACAGATTTTATTCTGTTTTACATTTTCCACCTCAATGGCAAGGTCCTATAATAAAATTTACTTCCTTTTAATATTAACTTGCAGGTCACTACAAGTAATGCGGTCCAATAATCAGACTCAAATTTAATGTCTTCTTTTAATACCACTGCTTGTGCTTTTGTGAGTCTGTAGGTAAAACCACATTTGGAGAAACATGTAAAGTCTAAATTTAAGTCCCCTTGTGAATGAGATGCCAAGAGAAATGGCCAATTTTCACCCCAATTTCCCTTCTCCACAAGAGGCCCAAACTTCAAATCAGGCAAATGGATGACAACAGAGCCATCAGAACTTGCTGACAAAGCCAGGCCCCTCTTAGAACATTGTCCTTTGCAAGGCAAAAGGTCCTTACCAGGGCCAGCTGGAAGGCGTGAGACCTGTGCAGTCACACGGGACCCCATGCTCAGAAGGGCCCCTTGTTTGGCTGATGGCTCTGCTGCTGCCACCTTGAAAATCTTAATGATTTTTCATTATAACCAGACGCCCTGCAAATTCATTTTGCACCGACATCTGCAAGCTACATAGCCAGTCCTGTCCTCAACGACTTCTCAGAATACACGCTGAGAAGGAAGATGCATAAGGAAAAAAAGAATATCTCCAAAAATATGGAAAAGCACACATCACAAAGCTTGCCTGACTTAGTATTATTTTCCTCATGGGAGAGCCTCCTTGGGACTTCTTGTACATTCCTACAAAAGGTTAATTAGCTAATCTAGAAGAACCACTCTCGGTTTTGCAAAAAGACTACTCGCTCTGAAGAAGCGCAGGTAATTGGTTTTTGTGTTCAGCCTCATTCTTACTCTTGTTTCTCTCTTTTCTTTTAATGATGAATGGCTGATCAAACAATAAAAATATTTTTATTTAATTAGAGAGTCAACCAAAGTCCTCATTTACAAGAGAAATAATTAGTGTAATGATTAAACTCCCTCTGACCAGGAGTAACAACTAGTTAACCAAATACTAAATCTTCTCTCAATGGATTTATGATGCAGCATTAGCACACAGGTGACTTCATTTTCAGAGGATCCGTGGAAGTATACACACCAGTGGGTCCTCCATGGTCCTGGGCAGAGCTCCACAGGTGTTGTGACATGTGATGGCTAATTGTGCCACCTTGACTGGGCCATGGTGTGCCCAGATACTTGGTCAAACATTATTCCAGTGTGTCTTTGAGAGTGTTTTTGGATGATTTGAACACTTAAGTCAATGGACTGAGTAAAGCACTTTGCCCTTGTTATATGGGTGGGCCTTGTCCAATCAGTTGAAGGCCTGAATATTATAGAACAAAAGGGCTGACTCTACCCCTGAATAATGTGAAAATTCCTCCTGCCTGGAACTGATGCCTTCCAGATGTGACATCAGGTTTCGGGTTTTTTGTTGTTGTTTTTTTTTTTCCTGCCTTCAGACTCAACCTGAAACATTGGCTCTGGCTGAGTCTGCAGCCAGCCGGCCTTAGGACTAGAACTGCACCGTGGGCTCTCCTGAGTCTCATACACACGCTAAATCTAGAATTCAGAAGGTAATATTTTTTAAAGTTTATAAAGCATTTATATAGTAGCTGGGAAGATTTTTTTTCTTTCATTCTTAATGTAAAAGCAATATAAGTTCATGGTAAGAAAGTCAAACAGAACAGAAAAGAATAAACTGACGTGTAAAGATCTGATTCTGATGCCTATTGCTTATTTCAACTCCACAGAAGCAATTGCTTTTTTAAAGATACTTTGATTCCAGAGCTTTTCTATGTGGTCGCATCAATGTACCGTTTACTGAGGTTTTTAGACAAATGGGACCACACTGCACATCACTGTTTTGCAATTGCTTTTTTCAGTACATAATTACACATATTGATATCTTATCACATACAGCTTTGAAAAGCTGTATGATATTCCACTTATTAGAGATGCATGAAAAAATTTTAACTAGTCTCCTAGTATTAGACACTTAGAAGAAATGTCCAAGAAATAACAATAGTCCACATGACGATATGATGAATATTAATAAGTCTCTTCAATACACAAGTTCCCCGCTAGAATATAAATTCTATGATGGCAGAGATTTTGCCTGCTTTGCCCTCTAATAAACTCCTAGCACTTAGAACAGTGACTGACACATTGGGTGCCCCATAAACATTCAGTGATGACTGTATCTTCATGTATACATTTATCTATACAGGTACCTAAAATTTCTTTATATACTAGCTGGCACAGTGGCTCATGCCTGTAATCCCAGCACTTTGGGAGGGCGAGGCAGGAGGATCACTTGAGGCCAGAAGTTCAAGACCACCCTGGACAACATAATGAGACCACATCTCTACAAAAAATTTTAAAAATTAGCTGGAGTGTGGTGGTGCGCATCTGTAGTCCCAACTACATAGGAGGCTGAGGCAGGAGGATTGATTGAGCCCAAGAGTCTGAGGCTGCAGTGAGCTATTGTTTCACCACTGCATTCCAGCCTCAGTGACAGAACAAGAGCCTGTCTCAAAAAAAAATTATTTATATAAATACAGATACATGGATATATAAACCAGTCACCTACTAAAATGATTGATTCACTGTATAGTCTTATCTCTAGTTTTTAAAGTTTGTTTTGTTTTGATTAGCTAGGGACTTCATCCTTCAGGTTCTGGAGGGTCAGAAGTGCAAAATCCAACAGCAGGGCTGCAATCATTCTGCAAGTTCTAGGAAGAATCCCTTTCCTTGCCTTTTCTGGCTTCTGAAGGCTGCATTCCTTGACTCATGGCCCCTACCACATCACTCCAACCTCAGCTTTCTGTCCCAAGTCCTCTGAATCTGACCCTCCCACTTCCCTCTTTCCTCAATAAACACCCTTGTGATATATGGAATCCACCTGGCTGATCCAATAGACTCTGCCCATCTCAAAATCCTTAACTTAATCATGCCTGCAAAAAGCCTTTTGCCCTGTGAGATAACATACTCACGGGTTCCAGGGATGAGGACATGGACATCTTCGGGGAGCTGTTATTCTGCCTACCACAGCTTGGGGGTTAGGTTTGAATTTCCGCCTTGTCATTTCAACACGGATTTCCTAAAGGTGTGTTGAGTCCACACTTACCACATCCTGGGCTAAACCCAAGAAATACACTAACTAGCCCCAAGGCCTTGCCCAAATTATTAATAAATAATTAACAGTGGCTATTTCTGTGTAACGGACTATCAAGTGAATTTTACTTTTGCTTACTTGTGTTTTCTATTTTCTTACAGTGAAGGCTGGGGGCAGGATTTCGATACAGAATAATTCTACTGGTTCGAGTGACATGCGTTTCTAGGTATAGAACACACACTGCGGGAAGGTGTCCCTTGTGGAAGGAGGGATGCCTTTTTTAAATAGCTTATTTTATTCAAGACTTTTGGAGGTAAACAAGAGCCTGAAATTAGTAAACAATTCTGCTCATTCAACAGCCACTGCACTCCAGCCTGGGCAACAGATCAAGACCCTGGCTCCAAAAAATAAAAATGTAAAGGGGGTGGAGGACCCAGCCAAACTTCACCCTGGGGAACAGGTGCTGCTAAGTCTAGGCGCCCTTGGAATTAACGGTTTCAATTTTTGATGTCGGGGGATTAAGCTCCTTAGGTTTACTTTCCCTGTCCTTGCTTTTTGGTAGCTGGCGGTCTAGGTCTAGGGTCCCAGAGGACGTGGAGCCACGGGAGGCACCGGGACCGGGCATGAAGCCTGGAGGCGACACAGGTCAGGAGCTCCAGCACCTCGCCTGTCAATTTTCGGCTCCAGTCGGCTCCGATTCGGCCGAACTGGGCCTCTGCTGGTTTTTCTCGGGCTCGGCTCTCTTCGGCTTTCTTCGGGCGACTCTCGTCTCGGCCTCGGCTCCTTTTCGGCTCCCTTCGGCCAGCTTTCGCCCTTTCGGACTCGGCTCTCTTCGGCTGCGTTCGGCCGCGTTCGGCGGCGCCCCGGAAGCGCTTCCATGGAGCCGGGACCGCCGGCTCGACGCACGGCCATGGCGCCGCTGCTGGAGTACGAGCGGCAGCTGGTGCTGGAGCTCCTGGACACGGACGGGCTGGTGGTGTGCGCCCGCGGGATGGGCGCGGACCGGCTCCTCTACCATTTCCTCCGGCTTCACTGCCACCCCGCCTGCCTGGTGCTGGTACTCAACACGCAGCCGGCCGAGGAGGTGCGGCCGCCGCTGTCGCCGCGGGAGTGAGGGGACCCCGAGAGCGCTGGGGCCTCCCGGGCGGATGCGGGCTCTGGCCCGGAAGCGAGGCCTCTGACGGGGCTGGGTGGGCTGCGAGAGGGATGCAGGTCCCTGACGCTGCGCGGTGACACTGAAAAGGGTCGCAGGGGTCCCCAGGGGAATGCCGGTCCCTGACATTGTGCAGTGACAGCGAGAAGAACGGAAGGGTTTCCCAGGAGAATGCACGTCCCCGACAGGAGTTCAGGGTTACTAATGGGAGAGGTGCCTGGGGGATGCAGGTCCCTGAGTTGGGTGCGAGGGCGCAGAAAGATGGAGGGTCTCTGAGAGGAGTACGGGAATCCTTTGAGGAGGATGGTGGCAGGTGAGGATTGGAGGTCCCTGCAGGGGACTGGGAGCTGTCTGAAGGAGGATCTGGATAGGCATCATGAGGAAGTCTCAAAGTTGGATTTTAAGTGGGTTTCTGGGGGCAGAGGAGTGAGATCCCTAAAAGAGAACAGTGATGGGGATGGCCTTCGAGGGTGACGGGGAGACATGAAAGGAGATGCTGAGGCTGGATAAACCCTGTAGGGAATAGAAGGGACTGAGGGAAAGAGGCTTTTCTCCAAGGCTGTGGGAAGAGGGCCATAGGGTCACAAGGGACTGGAAGCTGAGGATACTGGGGACGCCAAGGAAGATAGAATGGAGATACACCTGTCCTGGGGGGTGTTGAGACTTGTCCCGGTCTGACAAATCTGATAATCTCCTAATTAGAGCTGGTGGCCAGGAGAAAAACACCAGCTGAGAAGAATGACCACCAACTCCTTGAGCTCAGGAACCCTGTTGAATTCATCTAAGTATCCCCAGTGCTTGGCATAAGGCCTGGGACAACAGCCAATGCCCAGTAAAGGTGGCATTGAAGTCCCCTTAGGATGGATCAGGACAGAATTGATAGTCTAAAACACTGTCTAGGAAAAGGATTCCCTTGTTATCTTCTCACAGAATACGCTTGACTACAAACTGGCTTGGGTGGGAAGTATTTTCTAAGTAGCAGAAGTCTTTTAACCAAGAGTTTTAAAAGTCTGGTGGGGGGAGTTTGTTGATGTGGTTGTTGTTGGTAATGTGCTAATATAATGACTGAGGAGCAGTTACTCCTTAGTTTAAACCCAAACACAAACTAACAAAAAATCCTAGCAGATAGGTTGGTTGATCAACATAAAGTAATAACTTTATGTGTATTTTTTACAAACTTTATGTTTGTAAAATAATATACAAACTTTGTTTGTAAAATAATATACAAACTTTATGTTTGTATGTTCATGATTAAGCTCATTATCTCTGAGAAGGGCAGCACATCATTTTAAATACCTGCAAGCCATTAAAAACTGCCCTATATGCTTTTGCCACTATTCTTGGAGGGAAAAAAGAAAAGAAAAGAAAAGAAAAGAAAAGAAAAGAAAAGAAAAGAAAAGAAGAAAGAAAAAAAACTGCCCTATATTAAACAGCCTACTAATCTCGAGTTTGATTTGATTTAGGAGTATTTTATCAATCAGCTGAAGATAGAAGGCATAGAACACCTCCCTCGCCGTGTAACAAATGAAATCGCAAGTAATAATCGTTATGAAGTTTACACACAAGGCGGTGTCATATTTGCAACTAGTAGAATACTCGTGGTTGATTTCTTAACTAATAGAATACCTTCAGATTTAATTACTGGTAAGAATGGGAAATCTTATTATTTGTGTGTTAATGTGGGCACTTTTATTTTTGTCTGTCCCTTCGGTCAGACTCTAAACTAGAACCTTCTAGTGGGTACCACTGGATCATTTCGCTCAACATTATGCTTCCAGCTGTTAGCATAATATCTGACACATTGTAGATGCTCAATAAATATTTGTGACCTGTATAAGTAACTAAACATAAAATTGACTTTTCCTTGTTTTCTAAGCTCATATTCAGTAAATACTTGTAATTGGCTGGCATTTGCTTTTTAGAACTTAATCAGATTTGAAATGTTTATAAATAATATTTGTATATTTCCTAAAATATTTAATTTTCATCTTTGAGAGTATTTTCCTTATGATTTAAAATTAAACTAAGTATTTGCTTTATTATTTTGAGAAAAATGGTTTAATTTTAGCTAGAAGTAATATTAAAAAAGGAATTAGTTTTCATTATTTGTCCTTCCAGAAACCTTTTCTGATTTCCCCAGAGCTAATTTAGAGGCCCTGCCCGTGTGTCCTCAACTTCTCTGCAGTCATAGCACTCAGAACACTACATTTTATTTGCCTATTTATTTGTGAGAGAACTTATCTCACTCATGAGATAAGCTTTTTATGCACAAGGAACAACTTGTTCATCCCAGGCTGACTTGACTAACTGGTACATGGTAGGCACTGAACACATATTTGCTGGTTGAATGATGGATGGATATAGTACTGTGATCTTTAATGAATTTCTGGAGGGCAGAAAGACTATGAAATTCATAACCCTACTTAACACTGTATCTGTCATATTGCCCTAAACCTAGATGACTCTCAAGAAATACTTAATAATAACTATATGAATAACTATATGAATATGAATAACTATATGAATGAGTGCTTTATATAGTTAATGGTGAACTGATTGAAGAAAGGTTTGTTATTCTTTTATGACATTTATAATTATAAACAGTGGCATGAGCCTGAGTCACACTCACCTGATTTTGAATTCTAATACCCTGCTTACAAATCAAGCTCCTTAATTTCCATAAACCTCAGTTTTCCCATTTCTTAAATCAAGAAAATAGTGCCTCCTAGAGTTATCAGAAGGATTAGGATAAAAGAAATTGCTTATTACAGTGCCCAGTACATAGTAAAGTCTAATAAATAATAGCAAAAAGAAGATACTGGCTTTTTATAACCAGTAATCTTGATGCATCATAAAGTCTTTTACTGTTTGTTGCTTTCTTAAAAGGTTGGTTGATATTAATAAATTTTTAAAAATTGTATTGGAACTACCACTAGGTGTCAGTATTACTTTGACTTTCAGTTACAGCTCTACCTAATAAGGCAGAGAGCAATCTAATCAACTCGGCATCAACATCTGGCTTATAGGCAGTTTCTAATTAAAAGTGCCAAATTCTCTCAAATCCCAACCAGTAATGAAGCTGGAGCTAATGATGCTTGGCTGAATGGAATGCAAATGAGTACCAGCAATGAATTCCTTCATTTCTTCATCCCTTGGGATTAGGCACCAGAATCCTCTGTAAGGGTTTTCACCAAAGCTCTTTTTTTTTTTTTTTTTTTTGAGACAGAGTCTCGCTTTGTTGCCCAGGCTAGAGTGAGTGCCGTGGCGTCAGCCTAGCTCACAGCAACCTCAAACTCCTGGGCTCAAGCGATCCTGCTGCCTCAGCCTCCCGGGTAGCTGGGACTACAGGCATGCGCCACCATGCCCGGCTAATTTTTTTTTTTATATATATATATATCAGTTGGCCAATTAATTTCTTTCTATTTATAGTAGAGACGGGGTCTCGCTCTTGCTCAGGCTGGTTTTGAACTCCTGACCTTGAGCAATCCGCCCGCCTCGGCCTCCCAAGAGCTAGGATTACAGGCGTGAGCCACAGCGCCCGGCCTTCACCAAAGCTCTTACACACCTATGGGCAGTCCCTGAAGCAGGTAACCCTCTGGAAAATACTGAATCCCACCAGCCCTAACTTCTTCACCAGTCACCAGCCATTATTACCAGCACACCGCACCCTAAGTCTTCCTGCCAACCAGAATTAAACCTGCCTATATTGTGTTTATTTTTTTATTTTTTAAACAAGGAGGGCCCTGAGGTGGTGTCACTTACTGGGAATGACATGGCTTCACACATGATTTGGAACCTTTGGCCCCCCACTTCCTTGCTGGGTGAGCTTGATCAAGTTCTTCCCTTTCTTGGCCTCATCCTAACACCTACCACATAGAATTACTGTGAGGATTTAAGGAAATAAAAATCTATAAAAACACCTAACCCAGTGCCTGGGCTATAGTATTAGTTCTCTTCTTCCTTCTGGGCTCCAAATAAAGACAATTTTTTTAGCACATTTTCTTAAATCGAGGTTCTACTTTTCTATAGAAGATCATTTTTATTATTCTTAATTTTATTTAGTGTTTCAATCCAGGCTTATAAAGTGTGGCTCATAGAGTCCTTGGGAAAAGGACTGACTGGGCACAGAATATTTTCTGAGTAGTAAACTAATTATGCAAATGTATTGAGGGTTATTGAAAATCCTTTGTCTATAAATTCCTAAATAGCATGGTTAATTTTTACCATGTTTGAAAAAATAATTTGCTTAGCTACAGTAAATTTTAACTCCATCTATCTTGATCCAAAATTTAAATATCAAATTAGTAAAATCTGAATTGAGTTTATTAAACTACTAGAAGGGTTATAAATCACTATTAGTATCATTTTCCATACCTTAAAAGTGATAGGAACTGGATCAAAAACATGCAAGTACTTTTATAGCAAATATATGTAGGGTAATCAGCTTGATTTGGGTCCAAAAGACTGAGACTCGTAGAGTAATTGAGTTTTTTAATCCAGAAATGTCATCTATATATTCGTACATCATCTCATACTTCTCCCTAATTTATCACTAATCACACTGCATCAAAATGACATATATGTATAAAAGATCTCCTGGTCCAGTATCCACATTTTATAAATAAGAGAACATGTATGATTGATTGTCCTTGTTTTTGAGATTCAGAGGTATCATAATCATTCACATCCCCAAAATGTATTAAATGTATTTATTAAAGGTATTTATTTAAAATGGACTGATTAACTTCTCAACTGACTATATTCTGATCCTAAAAATTGAATTAATCTAATAGGTGAGCAGATACTGCCTAAACTTCCAAAATGCCACTACTTTGTATAGTCCACATCTGATTCATATGTAAAAAGAAAATTAGTGACTCACTTTGCTTTCAAAAATTCTTCCAACATGCCAGACACACCCTGCCTCAGGGCCTTTGCTCTTACTGTTTCCTCAACCTGGACCTTTCTTGGCCCAGATGGCCACAAGGCTCACTTCCTCTTCTCCATCCAGGCTTCACTTACCTGTCACATTGGTGGAACAGAGCACCCCCCTGCCATACACACTCTCTTCCTTCTCTGGTTCATTTTTTTCTCCTTAGTATTTGTGTCATACTAAGTATTTTACTGATTTATATTGTTTCTTATAAATTCCATGAAGAACAGAGATTTACATTTCTTTTGTTCATAGCTGTATCCCCAGCCTAGAGCAGTGCCGGTCCCATCTCATGTAGGTATTCAAGAAAAATGTGATGAATGAAAGTGAGTATGAAAATTACCTATCTATTCTGTAATTGAGATTATAATTTCCCCCCTGCAGGCATCTTGGTGTATAGAGCCCACAGAATAATCGAGTCTTGTCAAGAAGCATTCATCTTGCGCCTCTTTCGCCAGAAAAACAAACGTGGTTTTATTAAAGCTTTCACAGACAATGCTGTTGCTTTTGATACTGGTTTTTGTCATGTGGAGAGAGTGATGAGAAATCTTTTTGTGAGGAAGCTGTATCTGTGGCCCAGGTAAGTAGTAGTATGTGATAAATTTCTGTGAGAAGATCTGCTATAACTTAGTTGTACTTTACTATAAAATTTGCTGTAATTGTACTTGGTAGATGCCAGTCAGGTTTATAACAAACACATCCAGATATAAATATGTGGTCCCCATGTTTGTGATTCTTTTGAAAGTAGAGAGCAGTTTGATAGTTACATTTCTGGTAGTCTATCAAATCCATCCTAGGACAGCTAATTTATTCTTTCTTTTACATTTAATGAAACCCCCAGGAATCTAGAGACCCACATACACAACAGCTGTAGGTGAACTGCAGAGTTATTGGCTAAGACTACCACTTCCACTCTGAAAATTTCTCATCAGGGAAAGAAAGCACAAAGATAGTGAAGAATTTATGTAAATTTCTAGGAAAAACATAAAAGTTTCAATTTTTAAACATTTTTTGTAACCTATGCTAATATATATTTTGCTTATACTATGTTATTTTAAGAGTAGTTGTTATATTTTTACTTTCTTGATTATACTTTATTTTGGGGGTCAGTAAATGACCAGATATTAAATATTTTAGGCTTTGAAGGCTATGTGGTTTGTCACAATTACTTAAGTCAGTTATTACAGCATGAAAGCAGCCATAGACTGCTTACATAAACAATGGATGTGGCTGTGTTATAATAAGATTATAAAAGGAGGCACTGGATTTGGCCCAGACCATGGTTTTCTGACCCCTGCCTTTCTTGAATAATACACAATTTCCATTTACTGAGGTTCAAAGGATTCTTGATAACACTGTCATTTTGCTTTCCATTTTATTTCTTTCTTAATTACACTTACACAAATCATTAGATTATTAAATCGAGACTAGAAATACATAACTGTCGAAAGTCTAGAAAATATTTGAACAATCTTTGTCTTTGTAGGTTCCATGTAGCAGTAAACTCATTTTTAGAACAGCACAAACCTGAAGTTGTAGAAATTCATGTTTCTATGACACCCGCCATGCTTGCCATACAGACTGCTATACTGGACATTTTAAATGCATGTCTCAAGGAACTAAAATGCCATAACCCATCACTTGAAGTGGAAGATTTATCTTTAGAAAATGCTATTGGAAAACCTTTTGACAAGGTACTCTTTTTCTTTTTCTTTTTAAGCATATTTGTTATGCTGTAATTTTAAAGAATGCAAATTATTTTAATATTTGCAATGTTCTTAATAGGAATTTGCTGTTATTTTAGAATTAAATTGGAGGTGACTTAAAGTATAGCTTCTTTGGTTTACTAGAAGGTAATAATTTGTAATAAAATATGTGGATTGGCATATGAGCATAACTGACTTTTACAGTTATATAGTGATTATCTCTGAATTATAATCAAGAAGAGGGTAAATAACTTTTTTAGAATTTATGATCTCTTATGGAATAAAAATAATTTGGATGAGTTTTCATTGTTGAGGAATGTGAAACTTACTCTATCTTAAACTTACACTCTGAATTGAGAAAATGGTAAGACTTTAGTTCAAGGAATTTTTATTCTAATTAATTTTTTTCATCATAGAGTAATATTAATACAGGTATAAAAATGTCTAATGTTGAATTGTAGATGCAGAAGATGCTGACTTTAAAAAAATTCCTGGCAGCTATAGTTTCATATTTTGGTAAAACAAGTTCCTGTGTTTTAAACTGAATCAATCTCCATGTCACTGGAAGTAATGTATGGTGATTATAAAAAAAAGAAAAATTTAATTTCTCACTTCTCTGATCCTTCAAAAAAGTCAGCTTACTGTGAAATATTGATATATAAAATTAATTTCATGTATTCTGTTTCTCTGTGCTTAAAGTGTGTTGTAATACAGTGTATAGTGATTTTTAAAAAAGGTCCCTCATGTTCTTTTCATTTTTTAAACCTTTTCCTCTATACCTTGAGGACAATACCTCATACTCTTTTGACAGACTGTATATGTCCCTAGAAAAACAAAATATAACCTAATATGTTTTACACTCAATTTCTGTTTATCATTCTCTGGCTAGTAAAAGTAAAAACATTGTTTTAGATATTCTTTTAGTAACTATATCTAAATATAGAAATAGCTTGCATCTTGTTAAAATATTTAACCTCTTGTAGATGATTTTACAAAAGAAACATGTAGTTTTATGTCCCAGTCTGCCTAGATAGGCCAATATCTACCTATGTCCTGGAGTAAATTATTAATAGTATATCATTTCATTTTTACAAGTGTTCTAGTTGGACAATAAATTATGGTGTCATCCAAATATTACTCATGCTCAGTATTAAATTTGTTAGATAAGAGACTATACAATGATACTGCTTTTATATCAGGCTATAAATACCTGGTGGACATCAGATAATTCTGTAACTAAAAAGTTGCAGAATCGGTTTATGAGGAAAATGTGCACATACATAGTTGTGGATATGTAGACACCTATATAATATATACATAAAGCACTTCTTTGTTTTAGGTGGTTTTGGGGGATCTTAAAACAATAATCAAACTTAGTCAATTGTTAATTTAACAAATATTTTCCCATCTTAATCCACTTAAAAAAGAAACTAAGCAAATCTTTAACAAATTAAGGTACATTGTTATTTGATTTGATACTATGTAGTTTACCTGGCTTATGCCCTCTGTGCTGTGGGCCAGCTGGAGTCCACCTCTTTACCCATCCAGGATAGAGTCAGAGTCAAACCTGGCAGGAACTGAATGTGTCTGAGCTACATGCTTTGCCTCTGTTCGTAAACACAACAATTATCTGATGTTTATGAGGCCTTTTCTCTCCTGACAGTAATATAAATACGGATAATGATAGATTGACTCTATCTGATCATAAAGATTCTAGCAGTAAGACACTCTGCTTAAAATTAAGCATTATTATCAGAATTTTATGAACTGAAATTTTCTAGACACTTTCTTGGGGAACGTTTTAGGTTTTTTTATTGTCATAAACTACACATAACAAAATTTACCATTTTAACCATTTTTAGGTATAAAGGGAATAATCTTTTTTGAAAGTATGATATGTATTAAAATAGCTGTATGGAACACATTTTAGCAATGGTAAATTTTATTTTTGTTTTAGACTATCCGCCATTATCTGGATCCTTTGTGGCACCAGCTTGGAGCAAAGACTAAATCCTTAGTTCAGGATTTGAAGATACTACGAACTTTGCTGCAGTATCTCTCTCAGTATGATTGTGTCACATTTCTTAATCTTCTGGAATCTCTGAGAGCAACCGAAAAGGCTTTTGGTCAAAATTCAGGTGGGAGATAAAAATACTAATAACATTCTAGGAGCTGATTTCAATAAAGTGTTAGATTTTGGTGGGCAATCAGGTGTGAGGAGTGCTATATTCAACTATATGTTATACTAAGATTTCAAATTATGTTTTATGTTCATGTCACAAGGATGTGGGTTTTATTGATAGCTAATGTTTCCGCCTACTTAACTTCTGTTCTGTGTAATAATAAATATTCATATCCATTCTGGGTAATTTTATTTCTAGAAAAGACTGTGTGTAGTACAGGCAGTCCCCAACTTAGAAATAGGTTGTGTTCTGTAAGTTTAGTTGTTAAAGAACTTAAAATTCATTTTCCCCAAAGAAAAAGCAAGGAACTGTGGGATTTCATCAGCTAGAGTGCCAAAGACTGAAGAGCAGAAGAGATTTATGTGGAAATATATATATGCAACTGGCCACCATTTTATTCTCCTACCACTATTGTGGCCTCTGTGGCTTCAGTCACTATTTGACTAGACCAGTGGTTTTCAAAGGGTGGTCCACAGGCCCCTGAGGTCAAGATTTAATACAGCGAATAATTTGTACTACTTCAGGGACATTCTTAAGTAACAAACTATAGAAGCATGACAGTAAAGAATGCATCGACTGCTAGTACACTTTCATAACACTGCCTTGGTTTATGCTAAGGCACCAGCAGTGTTACCCAGCAAAGCTTTACACCATCACTGGAAATGTCGACACAGTGAAAGAAGTCAAATAATGTCTTAGTATTATTATGAGAAAAGTTTTGACATCACAGACACCCTGAAAACATTTGGGGATCCCTAGGAGTTCACGACCACATTTTGAAAACCACTGGTCTAGCCAAACAGTGATAGAGGCCACAATAGTGGGAGAAAGTGTGGCTGGTAGGAAGACAAGATGGTGGCCAGTTATATATGAGGGCTGTCTGGAAAGTATCCAGCCATATAACCATTCTTGGGTATATTAACAATGGCTGGATACTTTCCGGACAGCCCTCGTGCGTAGGTTTTGTAACCATCAGAGACTATTTGAAATTAACCATAAATTGAAAACACTCTTTTTTTTTTTTTTACTTTTCATATTAGGTTGGCTGTTTCTTGACTCCAGCACCTCAATGTTTATAAATGCTCGAGCAAGGGTTTATCATGTTCCAGATGCCAAAACGAGTAAAAAAGGCAAAATGTCTGAAAAGATAGAGATTAAAGAAGAGCAAGGTATCTTGTAGTATTAAGTCTTTAAATATGTCTTTTATTTAGGTATTTGGTGTGGAAATCCTTATCAAGTTAAAGTGTAACTTAAAATCTCCCTTAGCCATGTAAAAAGTTTATGCCTATATGTTAAATATATGTGTGTATGTTATATGCAACATATGAAACATATGTTAAAAGTATTCATGGGCCGGGCGCGGTGGCTCACGCCTGTAATCCTAGCACTCTGGGAGGCCGAGGCGGGCGGATTGCTCGAGGTCGGGAGTTCGAAACCAGCCTGAGCGAGACCCCGTCTCTACTAAAAATAGAAAGAAATTAATTGACCAACTAAAAGTATATATACAAAAAATTAGCCGGGCATGGTGGTGCATGCCTGTAGTCCCAGCTACTCGGGAGGCTGAGGCAAGAGGATCGCTTGAGCCCAGGAGTTTGAGGTTGCTGTGAGCTAGGCTGACGCCACGGCACTCACTCTAGCCTGGACAACAAAAGTGAGACTCTGTCTCAAAAAAAAAAAAAAAAAAAAGTATTCAGTGTGGCAAGTCTTAGAATCCATTGCCACTTGGTCCCAAATTACAAATGCCAAATGTCAATCTAGAGTGTGTTACACATAAAGGACTGTATGTTGATTTTTTTAACTTCAAAATAATTATTATTTTTGGCCCCTAAAGTCAGAGTGGAACAGTTTAAGGTTCCTTTGAATTTTTAAAGAACATAAATTTACTAGAATAAGACAAATACAGGTTTTATTCCAGCATTTATCTAGTAGGTATCATAAATATCACCAGTTTTTTAAGGCATGGAATAGGGTTAATGCTTATTTTCTGCCTACTTTAAAGGTCTGTTTCAAAACTTAATTGAACATATTAATGATGTGTTTGAATATTTATAGAAAAAAATTTGTTGTCTACTTTCATCCATGTTCAGGATTGTGAAAATCATGGGGATTTTAGAAATAATAAATAATGTCATTCTGTACTGATTCCTTTATTTTGAATAGCAGCTTATACATACTGTCACAATAGACAACACAGAATCAGCTCTCATTAGTGACCATGCATATAACTTTCTGTGAAGGCATTATGAAACCCATATTAATGGTTTGAAACAGGTGTCCTCAAACTACGGCTTGTGGGCCACATGCGGGTGTTTTTTGCCTGTTTGTTTTTTTACTTCAAAATAAGATATGTGCAGTATGCATAGGAATTTGTTCATAGTTTTTTTTAAACTATAGTCTGGCCCTCCAACGGTCTGAGGGACAGTGAACTGGTCCCCTGTTTAAAAAGTTTGAGGACCCCTGGTTTGACATATATTTCATTTAGACCTTAAGGAGACATTTTTCAGGAAAGCAGATTTCATATAGCATTATAAAGAAAGCTTAAAGAAATGGGCCTATGTAATGATGCTTGTGTTATCTATTGTTTTAAAAGCCTTTGGAATACTTTATGGATACATATTATCACATAGAATGAGGTTATCTTTTATTTCTATACAGAAACAAGAAAAGAACTGGTCCTAGAAAGCAACCCAAAGTGGGAGGCTCTAACTGAAGTGCTCAAAGAAATTGAGGCAGAAAATAAAGAGAGTGAAGCCCTTGGTGGTCCAGGTAGGAAAAAATAAGATAACATCGCTTTCAAAATCTATCAAATGAATCTCAATTTAATTAGCTCTTTAAAAGTAACTCAATATTTTATTTGTGAAATGTAGATGAATAAATGCCAAATGAAAACTGAAATCCTAGTGACAACCTCATTTCTGTTCACTCTATGTAATTTTCTGCAGTTTGAATCATTGTATATTCATGAAAGCAGGTTTTTTTACTGGTTGGGTTCTTAGGAATTCTATTTAGAGATTCAGCTAATTCTGCACTTATAGTCACCAGCCTTTAAATCTGGTATCCCCAAGGAATAAGCTAGTGGGTCTTCTGTTTTATATCTTCCACAAGTATCTTTCCAGAGAAGCCTAAACTCTTTAATGGAGTGACATTAACCTAACCCTCCAAAATAATTTCAAATTTTAGTGCTGTTCTCTTCAAACATGGGGTATACTAGCATTTAGTAGTTTAGCACAGTAGAATAACCCTAAACTGTAAATTTAAAAATAAAACCAGGTGGAAAATGAAACAAAGCTAAATTTTAAGAAAATATTTATTGAGCCTTAAAACTCCTATAAAGCACTAAAGGCAAGCACATAATTTTTACGTTACTAAATATGCTGGTGAGATTATCCCAGAACTACAGTTTTGTGATTTAAGATCTAAGGTCTTATATGCTCATTGTAAAAAATGGAAAAAGGATAAAGAAAAGAGAGAAGGAAAAAAAATTACCCCTAGCAGCTGCTATTAACATTGATGTATTTCCCTCTTGGTTTTCTGTCATATATTCAATATTTTACATGGTTAAATAGTGTGGATATAATATCTATAATATTATATCTGTATACTATAATAAAGAACTAATGGGTCAAATGGTTTTAACATTTTTAAAGTTCTTGGGACATATTACTGTATTGATATACAGAAAATTTTGGTTAATTTTCATTTCTTCTAGCAATGTAAGAGTTATCTCTTTTTCACTTAGTTAACTATGACTGGAAGTTCTCTGTATTTGTGTGTGTGTACACATACTTTATATGTATCATTATATACATGTAAAATATATACAATATATAAAACATATATTATGTACATAATAATTTTATTAATTTGCTGCCTTATTTTAAATTTTGATGTTTTGTGAGCTCAATATTTTCTCAAATGGTTTTTTCCATCTTTTTGTGAACTGTGTTAGTCCCTTTTGCCAGTTTAGACTATGTCCTCAGTTTGTATTAGCTCATTATATATTAAAGATGCTAACATTTATAACTATTAAATCCAGCATTTTTTGTTTGTAGGTTTTTTTAATGCACAGTTTTTTATTCTTATAGAGTGAATCTTAAAGTATAGTTATCAATCTTCTCTGAGATTTTTTCCATTGTTTGTAAGCCTAGAAAATCATGTACATCTGGAGAGATGGAGAATAGTCATTTCTTTTTTTGTTTTTTTGATTTAACATTTGACTCTATAATCCCTTTAGAATTTGTTTTGGTGTATAAGATCTGGAAAATTATTAATTAAAAAGGATTTCTTTAAAGCCTTCATTATATCATGATTATATTTTCTAATATATATATGTATTTTTTATTTTTAATTACTATTGGTTCATAATAGTTGTATATCTTCTCAATAGCTGTATATATTGTCAATAGTGCTACAATAAACATGGGAGTGCAGATATATTTTCAATATACTGAATTCCTGTCCTTTTGATATATACCCAGCAGTAGGATTTCTGGATCATATGATAGTTCTATTAATATTTTCAGTTTTTTGAGGAACCTCCATACTATTCTCCATAGTGGTTGTACTAATTTACATTCCCACCAATGGCGTGCAAGGGTTCTCCTTTCTCCACATCCTTGCCAGCTTTCATTATTGCCTGTCTTTTTGATAAAAGCCATTTTTACTGGGGTGAGATGATATCTGGTACTTTATTTTACTGTGGCTGAGCTGGTACCCAAGTTGCAAAACAGACTCCTCTGAGCTTTACCCTTTTCCTTCCCCAACTGGAAGAAGACTCTCTTTGAGCTGCACCGCCTATATTTGGGGGAGGGGTGGCACAGGCACTGGCTTGGCTTTGACTGCTATTGTCTCACTGGGTCATGCACACCCCAAGTCCATTGACTCCAAGCCAGCACAGCTACAGGAATTGCCCAAGGACTGCAGCCTTTGTGGCCCGACTGCCTTATGAATTTAGTCCAGGCCGCAGACTGCTCTTTTTCTGCCGCAAGAACTAGGGCTTCAGGGCAGAGGATTTCTATCTTGCCAGGTGGGTCAAAATGCTCCTTCCATGGGCACTGGCAGAATTCTGCCCTGTGTTGTGTTCGGTTGTGCCAGGGCAGCCCTGAGTTTCAATGCAAAGTCCCACACCATGATTGCACTTTCATAAGACTAAATAGTCTGGCTTAAACTTTATTCAAAATATTTAAGTAATCCTGCCAGAGATGTAAAAGCATTTGATAAATACCTAAGACCCTTTTTTAAACAATTTGTAAATTATGGGTCTTTAATACCAAAGGCTAAGATGTCTCCCTTTCAGAGAAGTGGGGAGAGGACATACGGGGAATAGGAGGTGAAATGAGGTAACAGTAACATAACGATGTTTTCTGATTTTAGGTCAAGTGCTTATTTGTGCAAGTGATGACAGAACATGTTCCCAGCTGAGAGACTATATCACCATGGGAGCCGAGGCCTTCTTACTGAGGCTCTATAGGAAAACCTTTGAGAAGGACAGCAAAGCTGAAGAAGTGTGGATGAAATTTAGGAAGGAGGATAGTTCAAGAAGAATTATGAAATCTAACAAAAGACCCAAAGACCCCCAAAACAAAGAAAGGGCTTCTACCAAAGGAAGGACTCTCAAAAAGAAAAAACGAAGATTGACTTTAACTCAGATGATAGGAAAATCTGAAGACCTGGAAGAGGAAGGCGATGTTGAGGAAGGAGATCATAGGGAAATAAGCAGTAGCTCAGAAAGCTGCTTGGAAGAAATTAAGCATGAAGAGTTTGATTTAAATCTGTCATCAGATGCTGCTTATGGAATCCTGAAAGAACCCCTCACAATCATCCATCCGCTCCTGGGTTGTAGTGACCCCTATGCTCTGACCAGGATACTCCACGAAGTAGAGCCCCGGTATGTGGTTCTGTATGATGCAGAACTCACCTTCGTCCGTCAGCTTGAAATTTACAGGGCAAGCAGGCCCGGGAAGCCTCTGAGGCAAGTTACACGAGTATGAACTGTTCCTTAAAGCTTTGCATGTCGCAGTTCTTCAGGACATAACGCAGAATCTCTACCAGTTGCATATTAGTTTTATCTTTAACACTCCACTGTTATGTTGCTGGTTACATTTATGAAACCTTATTTTGCTTTCCAATGGATCTGGGAAGTTGCATGGGCAGGACATCAAATGTAGCAGCAAGACAACAAACTTAGGGGACTCCTCATGTTCTAGTTACATGCCACTCTGTTGTTCTGTACTGTATTCTTTATGTGTTGGTTTGTAGCTTGTCTGAAAAAGTCTAGAAAATTTATAATCTAAATTCTACCAAAAATTAATATAATTATGACTTGGCTAAATAATTTTCATCTTCCAAAATGTCTTCCATATAAATTTTAAGAAATGACTCTAAATGTCATCCACATAAAACGAAAGTGTTTGGGGGAATTACTGTACCAGGTTTTCTTGAGTTTCAAGAAATGTCAGATGAAAAATCTACAGAAATATCAGATGAGAAAATGATGCCTCCCAAAGAAGATAGTGTTCTGGCTTTCCAATTATCTGAGGGGAAATAAACAGCAAAATTAATATCCTGAACTCAGTCTGAACCAAAAACAGAGCCAAAAGAAACCTTCCTAGCAGTTTAACTAATACAGCCTTTCAGAGCACAGATGAATGGAGGAGCTGGATCAGAAATAATGCAGGATGAAGAGATTAGATAAAGCTGGTAATATAATTATAGGCTGGTAACTTTTCATACTTCACTATTGATCAACTTTTTAGATAGCTGTGTGTGCCAAGCTTCTTTCTTGCCTGAGAACAGAATAGTATGATATTTAGAAACAAAATGTCAGAATCAGAAGGGACCTGGGAGTTTAACCTGTTCACTTCATCAGTGGGAAACTGAGGCCCAGAAATGGGGAATGACTTGGCCTCAGCCACATGGCACATCCATGGGAGAACTGAGGTCTCTTGACTCATTACCCAGTGATCTTTTCCCCATCTACACTGGAAGGAAATACAATCTGGGAAGATAAAGGGTAAAAGGAAAACTGAAGCTAAAGAAGGAAAATACTTCTGATAGAAGGTGAAGAAAAGGGACAAAGGATATGCTTAATACAGCTCTCTTAGCAGCAAATGAGATAGAAAAGCAGACCTTTTCTAAGAGAAAATATATCAAATTATTCTTTGAGATGCTTGATATATTCCATATGTCTTCTGTGCCCGTGTGTTTATATAGAATGTGTGATGACTCTGTCCTGTTAAGACACGAATAAAAAGGAACTGAGAAATTACTTGTGAAGATAAGGTCATATAGATTTCATTTGTTTATTTTTCACTAACATGAAGTTTCATAAGCTGATTTTGATAGCTACTATCCAACTTTTTAAACGATTGTTTGGCAGAGGCGCAAAGAAAAAATTGAAAATAGAGAAGCCTCTTAAGATTTTTGTGTTTTTTGATTTGTTTATAGTTATGAGGAAAGACTATTTCTATCCCTCTAGTAGTATTTCAATGTTTACCTAAACTCTGTTCCTCCTTTTAGCAAAAGAAAAAGAAATGTGGTAATGAAACCTTTAACAGGTGGAGTTTAGACAGCTTAATTTTAGTTAATGAATGATGAATGGAACCTTTTATTCTCAATCAAATATGTATTATTTGAGCAGCCTAGGTTGCTGATTTCAAGTGTTCTGCTGTTCCTTTCAGGGATTAAAAATTAAGTTTTGGCAATCTAAAAGAGTTCTGTCTTAACTTGCAGGGTTTACTTTCTTATCTATGGAGGTTCAACTGAGGAACAACGCTACCTCACTGCCTTGCGGAAAGAAAAGGAAGCTTTTGAAAAACTCATAAGGTAATACACAAAAAATCAGCATGAAAGTCACAACTACATGGAAAGCCTTTCAAGGTCCAGAGAAGTCTCTTGATGGGGGATATCTAACAGCCGTCCGGGAGGTTGGGAAGGGGATGAGGTAAGAGGGGCTCTCGGGAAGACAAACATGCTGTCTGATCTGTCCCCCACGTATATCTCAGCACACAGTTCCTTCTTCTCTCCCCCTCTTCTACTATCTCCAGTTGCTTATCGGTGGTTTAATAGAATATTAGAAATGGGATTAAGAGAACTACTTTTCTGTTTATAAATAAACATAACTAAAACACTACTTTTCTAAGAAATATATTCTTAAATCTCCCTCTTCCCTGCCCTATGCACAAGATTCTGCCCTCCTCTGAATGATTTTTTTACTGTTTGTGAGGTTCCCATTGTCTGTGTGCAGGGGACTGCTTTACCGTTTACAAACCAGCCATTTCCAATCACTGTCAGTAGGATCACTCTGAGAAAATATTTTTTAGAAGATATGTTGTTTGTCTGAACATAAACATGTATATGTTTTTGAAAATGGGTATCTGGTAATGTTCCAAATCCAAATAGAAAATGTTTTTCAATTTAGCATAAGGAAAATGTTTATGAGCTATTCACAAATTGGATGGCTACCTCTTACCCCAGAAAGCATTCAAGAAACCTGATAATCTCCCACCAGGGATGTTGTCAAGGAGACTGCCGCTTGGTGTGGGAAGATGGGCCAGATGATCTCTCAGGGGTCTTAGAAGCCAGGGTGAGGGCTGGATGGGGCATCATCGAGCTGAGCCGGAGAAAGGCCAGACCAGAGACCATGGCCTGGACAGAGTGCAGTTGAGTCAGACCAACCTCCAGGCCTCAGACATTGGCAGTGTAGGGCAAAACTTATTTTTAGCAGTAGTCAGCCTGCCAGGGCCCTAGGCTGAATTTCAAAATGGACAACCACCCTACATTGCTGGCTGTGGGTTCTCAGTATATGTGTAAAATATAGACATAGCCCAGTTAATCCAAGGCAAGCATTCCTGGAAGCAGGTGTTTACTGAATCAGTGCCATGGAGTCCCTAAGGTGGGGTCAGCATGGTACATGGGCAGTCCCCTTCCCTTCCCTTCAAATCCTCTAGAATTGTGACATGCCGTGGCCATGGATTCTTGCAGCTACTAGTCATACGATTATTGCTCAGTCCTCTCAGCCTATGAAAATACATTTTCTGCCAGTGTGCTCTGTGGGATTGCTTATATCATGTATGTGTATACATATTCTTAGAAAAACATTTCAGAAATAGTATTCTAATAGACCAGGTACAGGCTACATCTTCTTGTTCCAAGGTTTTAGCACTTGCCTGTCTTGCTCTCTGACTTCTAGACCTTTACTCCCCAAGGCTCAAACAGTAAATAGATATTTATTAAACATCTGGTATGTGCCAAGCTCTGTGTGAATATTAAAGTGCTGAGGTTACAGTGGTACAGAAAAAGTCTCTGCCCTTCTGGAGCTTATCCTCTAGTGGAAAAGACATATGAAATGATTATAAATATTGTAGTAAATAGAAGTGTACCAAGCACTGCTGGCTGCAAAGGTACAGGAAAAGGGTGTAATAAGAGACTGTGTCAAAGAGCCCTAACCCAGACCAGAAGGAGATCAGGAGCTTCCCTGAGGAAGTGGTATTTAAGCTGATGCATGAAAAACCTGTGGGAGGATTGCGTGGAAAGGGGGATTATGTTGAACAAAGGCGTGTATAAAGGCTCAGAGGTACAAGAGGCCTGTTAAGGATTTAGGACTTTAAGAGTAATAATATAACATTGAAGTGTTCTTAGTAAGAAAGTGACTTAAACACCTGCAATCCTAGCACTCTGGGAGGCCAAGGTGGGAGGATAGCTTGAGCCCAGGAGTTTGAGACCAGCCTCAGCAAGAGTGAGACCCCATCTCTGCTAAAAATAGAAAAAACTAGCCAGGCATGGCAGTGCAAGCCTATGGTCCCAGCTACCCAGGAGGCTGAGGCAGGAGAATTGTTTAAGCCCAGGAGTTTGAGGCTGCTGTGAGCTAGGCTGATGCCATGGCACTCTAGCCTGTATGACAGAGCAAGACTGTGTCTCAAAAGAATAAAAGGAAAACAAAAGAAAGTGACAAGTATATGTTTAAAGGCTCTCTCTGGCATCAAACTGAGGAAGGAATGAGCATGGGAGCTAATGAGAAGGCTATTGCAGTTGTCTCATGAGAGAACATGGTAGCCAAGATTAGGCTAATGGAGGGAAGAGAACAGACTTGAGAGATATTTAGGAAATAGAATCAAAGAATTGGTGATAATGGTTGTGTGAGCCAGCACCTCCTTTTTAAAACATCCTTTGCCTGAGTTTTCTCTGATTAAACTTGTTACCAAGTTACAAATGAGCACAGAGCTAAAAGTATTCAGATTAGGTTATCAGTGATTATATCGGGGTCCGCAAGACCATCCTCAGGCTCTGTGATTCACTAGAAGGACTCTCATGAGTCAGAAAAACTGTTAGATTCATGTACAGTTTCATACAATACAGATTAAAATCAGCAAAGGGAAAAGGCACATGGGGCAAAGTCCAGGAAAAACCAGACATAAGCTTCCAGATGTTATCTCCCAGTGGAGTCACACTGATGAGCTTAATTCTCCCAGCAATAATGTGTGACAACACACACAAAATGTCAACAGTTTGATATCCCGAGTTTGTATTAGGGCTCAGTCACATAGACACAGCGTCCCCATAGGACTGACTTCAGCTACTCAGACTCCTGCAAAAACAGGTACTCACCATAAATCATGTTGTTAGCACAAAGTGTCTGATCAGACTGGTGCCTGTGGCCCAAGGCCTCAGGCATACAGAAACCCTCGAATATTCCAAGGATTCAGACCTCATCTTCCAGGAGCTGGCCAAAGGCCAGGTCTGAGGAAGCAGACCTTTCTTAGAAATGTGCAGAGTTTGAGCAGCCCAGGCTTGCTGAGTTACCCCTTCCCTGCACAATGTTGCAGCCAAAGGAGCCTGATAGAATGTGAGGAGGATGTTACCTAAGTGGGTGGGTTTTATGCTTCCTACTTTCTTCATGCACCTGCTTCTTCTCCAGTACATCAGAGGATCTAATCTAGAAAAGGGTACTTTAGTAGATAGTAGTAAGGTATTAGGGACCTAATGCCATTCCTTTTTTTTTTTTTTTTTTTGTATAAATGTAAGGGGTACAAGTGCAGTTTTGTTATATGGATATATTCTGTACTGGTAAAGTCTGGGCATTTAATGTAACCATCACCTGAATAGTGTCCATAATACCCATTATGTAATTTCCTGTTCCTGATTTATGCAAGTGCCTTCAACCATCAAAGAGCTCAGTGACAAGATGTGGATAAAAGCCTTGCATAGATTGGAAACCTCCCTCCTCAGAGCCTGGAACATGGACTCTCCCATGTTTCAATTGACAATAATAATTTCCACACCAGGTTTTGATGTCATTTTATCTATGATCTGGTATAATTTGTTCTAAACTCTCTCAGTGGTGACTATCTACTTATTATAAATAAGATCTTCCCATTTTACACAGCAATCAGATGGTTATACTATTTAGAATCTTAAGATGTTTATTTTCCCAGAAAACTTGGGGAATTTGAGAGGTGTTTGTTTTGAAAAGCAAAAACATATTTGAGGTACATTGCTGGAAGAACATTTGCACTGCGCCTGTACTTAGAGAAAAATTTGATGTGAGAATAATATAATGTGCTTTTGCCAAGACCTCCATGGGTGATGTTGTAAGAAGAAAAGCAGTGGTACTATTTAAAATAACCAGAAAGGAATGAATCAGGCAGTAGATTAAAGATCAGTAGATTATAGTTGACAAATGAAGAGCAAAAAGATTACACTTTTAAGTATTTATAATAAAATGCTCCCTGGGTACAAAAATTAGTAATAACATCCTCAGTATGCATAGTTTTGAGAGGAGTCACTCGTTTTCAAAAGAAAGGATAAGATTATTTGAAATTTTACAGTTAGAAAATATGATCACAAAATAGGTTAGCATGGGGGCTTGAATAAATGCCCATTCGAAGAGACTTCTAGTTCAGCACCTCCTTCCTACATCACCATGTCATACAAATACCATTGAAGATACTAAAGCAAACATAGGAAAAACCTCAGTACTTTAGATTAAGTGGGAATAGGAATCTGAATTTTTAGTTATTGTTTTGTTTCTGTCACATAGAGTAACTTGGATAATTATGCTAAATGTTGAAAGCAAGAGACTGAATATTTATAACCATGGCACATTTCCATTAAATTAGAGTTACTGATTAAGAAGACTTCACAGTCCAGGTTTCATCTCTGGAGTATATTTTTTCTGAGATTCAACTTGTAGATATGTTGTAACATTTAATGATAAACTGGCTGTTTTCAATAATAATATTACTTGAAACAATTGTGGAATCGTTTGAAAGCAGATCTTCAGTTTATTAGTATAATCATGGATAATAAGAGGATGAGGTTACCACATTATAAGAAAAGTTCAGTAATAACCGCTAACATTTATATAGCACTTACTATGCACCAGGCACTGTTATATCATCCTCATAACACCCCTTTGAGGTATGTTTTACTATTACCCTCATTTTATAGAGGAAGAAATTGAGGCACAGAGCGATGAAATGACTTGCCTGAGGCCACAAACCAGTAAGTGGTTTCTGATCCACACAATAGGGAAACAGAGACCGGTTTTTAACCTGCTATGCTCTAGCCTCTCACACAGGACAGATCAATCAGGAAATTGGGATGGCCCCGTATGTTATATGTAGTTTATAAAATGTAGTTGTATGTAGTACAATAAGGAATAAAGAGCAGGGCGGGGGAACAACAATGAACTTAATCATCTCAAATATTAAAGAAAAAGAAATTTAAGAGCAGTGATATTTTGAGTGGTTTGCCCTCTGTCCTCAGCAGAATGCAGTGGGTGGAAAATGGAACAGTAATGAGTGGCGGCCAGAGCCACTGCCACCGCAGGGGCTTTTCCAGCAGGTAGCACTTGACAAAGGGAAAAATGATACTGGAACCACCGCCTGGCCCCTGCGATCTATTTATAAAGGGTTGTACTGATAATAACTTTGCATTAGATCGTCTCAAATAGTATAGAATTTAAAATTATGATTTCTGTTCTCCAGTGGTATCTATTAATAGTATCCTGCTCTAAAGTATCATTTTTCCAGAGTGGTTTAAGAATTAGTTCATCTGGTTTTGTTTCCTTTAATTGGAAAATCTTTGTTATTTTCACACTTGTTGAAATTAATTAATACCTGCAGTTTATCTTCTGGCTCACTTCATCCTAGACTCTTATTACAATTCCTCAGTTCTGCAGGTGTTTTCGTGATTGCTTTGTTTCCTCAACTCAGGGGTAAGCCCCAGGAGGAAAGAGACCCAGCTTACTCACGTTTTCTATCATACCTGACACAGATTGGAGATACAGTCCTTGCAGTTTCATGGAATTAATTATAACATACTTTACTCGTTTTGAAAAATAAGACTACAGTAAACCTGGCTTAACCTTTCTGTGATCAGTGAGGATCTCTCATCATGATGTAGTTCTGAATTGCGAACTTAGGTTACGCAAAATCTTAGTTATGATTGTATGGTCCTCTAGATCTTACGCCTTACAAGGTGTTAAGATATGAGCTACCTGGAAGACAGGAATTATTATGTGAACATAGTTATCTCCAAAGCACCCAGAACACCACATATGAGCACTCCATAAATGCTGTTAAATAAATACATGAAGGAGTAACGAATGTTGCTCCTAAGGCATAACCCACGCTGTTGATTTTTTGTTTTAATCTCTGATGGAAATTTGATTTCTTATATCAACCTTGATTTTCCATTAAAATTGAGGGTGTTTAGTAGGGCCTCCTACCTGGAGTTTTTTGAAGTCCTATCATATATGTGTTTTCATTTTCTTAGTCACTGATTTTTAACCATCCCTATTTATGGTTGCCCTCAAAATATTTGAATATAAATGATTTAACTTATTTTTTAATGCTCAATAGTACTTTAACCTTACAAAGAGTCTCAGTAATCTCTCTGTTCCATTTTTTACATGCTTATTTCATGTCTCAAGTCTTTGAATATAAAATAAAAAATAAACAACAGCTTTTTTTTTTTTACTCTGGAGGATCAAGAAGTAGTACCCAAACAAGAAATTCTTTCTACTTCCTTTACCTGTCACTTGTCTTTGCTTCCGATGTTTACTTCCGATATATTTCTTGTATTCTCTTTTTACCACTATGGTCATGTAGATCATTTTCGACATTATAATTTACAAAGGATTAAAATCTAGAATTTTGAAATTAGTTCAAAAAATGTTTAAATTGTTTTCTCCACCAGGGAAAAGGCTAGCATGGTGGTCCCTGAAGAAAGAGAAGGCAGAGATGAAACAAACCTAGACCTAGCAAGAGGAGCAGCATCTACAAGTGTTCCCACTGACACTCGGAAAGCCGGTAGGTCCTGCCCTTTGCCCAGCACCCCTGTTGCCTGTGAAAGAGGCTGTGAATTCCAGAGTTACTCTGCGGAGGCTCAGTTTTTCTTGACAAACTCTGAAAAATGGAGATCAGACTAGGCAGAGGATGTGTGTCCCCATGCTCTAACCTCAGCTCTGCCGTTTAGTGACCACGTGTCCTCCCTGGCACAAAGGCACCACATCGTCTGCAAAACACGTGGGGCTGAGTGCTAGGGTCCCAGCTTAGAATGAATTTTGTTCCATCACTGCATTTAAATTTGGTTGGTTGAGACTCAGAATGTACTTTTGCAATAAAACTTTGGTACATGGTAAGTAGGTTCTTAATCAAAGAACCCAAAGAAGCCAGTTTAACTCTTAGAGAAGCTGATGGAAGTTTCTTCTTCCTTCCTTCCTCTGTCTCTCCCCTTAGATGTATACATGCGTAGGAGTTGTTTGGGCTACATACATTCCCACTTTTTCTGTGTTTATGTGTTACTTCTTGGTACCTCCGCAGATCCCAGGCATTTGGTACTCTCATTGCTGTGCAGTGTCCGAACTGTGGTGTGCCACAGGACCTGCTGAATTCTGAGTACCCTGTGATCCAGAAGTAACCATTTTCCCACTCCCCAAATTCTCATTTTTCCACAGCAGCATCTGATTTCACTCCCTTTTCCCACCTCTGGACTCACTGATACAAGCTCATCAGCTCCCCAGGCAGTTTACTCAGCGACCATTTTTAAGTATCTACTGCATCTGCTATTTTAAGCATCTGTTACCGGGTTCTGTCCTAGGAATTGGGAATATAGAGACCAGGGAAATGTGGTCAGTGTGATAATAAGAGACTATATAGGGAATTACAGAGGGGATACCATAGCAAATGTGTTTGTATCTATGAATCATTATAAGGAAGGAACTGCCAATTGACTCTAATGTTCCTATTAACTTCATTTAGTTTGAGGAAAATGGCCTCTGCTTTTTCTAGAACTAAATCTTTTTGAAAATGTAAAAAAATGTGGAATAATATCATATAGTATTATGTAACCATCCATCAGAATTAACAACAGAAACATAGATTTTTAACTTTAATTGTCACATTCCCTCTTTGAGAGTTCTCCTCTTGCAACATTACTTAAAATGTTACCCATTTTTCATAGGTGGCCAGGAACAGAATGGTACACAGCAAAGCATTGTTGTGGATATGCGTGAATTTCGAAGTGAGCTCCCATCTCTGATCCATCGTCGGGGCATTGACATTGAACCAGTGACTTTAGAGGTGGGAGATTACATCCTGACTCCAGACATGTGCGTGGAGCGCAAGAGTATCAGTGATTTGATTGGCTCTTTAAATAACGGCCGTCTGTACAACCAGTGCATCTCCATGTCCCGCTACTACAAGCGACCTGTGCTTCTGATCGAGTTTGACCCTAGCAAGCCTTTCTCTCTCACTCCCCGAGGGGCCTTATTTCAAGAGATCTCCAGCAATGACATTAGTTCCAAACTCACTCTTCTCACACTTCACTTCCCCAGGCTCCGGATTCTCTGGTGCCCCTCCCCTCATGCCACTGCCGAGTTGTTTGAGGAGCTGAAACAAAATAAGCCACAGCCTGATGCAGCAACAGCATTGGCCATTACAGCAGATTCTGAAACCCTCCCTGAGTCAGACAAGTATAATCCTGGTCCCCAAGACTTCTTGTTAAAAATGCCAGGGGTAAATGCCAAAAACTGTCGCTCCTTGATGAACCACGTTAAGAATATTGCAGAATTAGCAACCCTGTCACAAGACAAGCTCACAAGTATTCTGGGAAATGCTGCAAATGCTAAGCAGCTTTATGACTTCATTCACACCTCTTATGCAGAAGTCGTATCAAAAGGAAAAATGAAAAAATGAACAATGGTGGCTGTTTTCTTACCCCAAGACTGCTTTTCACCTGCTTTTTGCAAGCCATGTTCGGTCATTATTATTAGCTCAGTATTTCATTCTTTTCCAGTGCTTTTAATGGTTGTGTGTTCTGTTTCCAAAATCAGTGGACCAGAAGCCAGCCAGGATTCCTTTCTGAACTTCGTGTTTAGGCCTCATTTTAACTTTCCCATGCCTGCTGTCTTCCCTCCCTGCACTGTCTATGCCAGGCCTAGTGTATTCAGTTTTTAAATGAGGTGTGTCAGGATCAGATAAAGTTTCTACATTGTTTACAGGAAGCCATTTTTGAGACAAGCAGAGATTTGTGTTTCCTACAAAAACTGAGAAAACACACAACCATGTACTTAACCCTCTGTCTACACGGTGCCCTCTGGAATACGAAGGACCATCTCTTTGTTATTCCTGAGCAGTTCTCTACACCACATTCTTCAACTCCATACTTCTTCCACCTGACTGCCTGTGAGGAAAATTCATGGGGTGTTCCTACTACTAATCTACAGCCACCTCCAAAACTGGCTGACTAGTTCTCCAATCACTTGAATATATGTAGTGTATACTGTAACTTGATTGTTCAAAACCAGTATTTTTAAGACATAAAATGAATTACCTATTTGCAAAATGTGGTGGTATAGGTGAAGGAGCTCTTAGAATTCTGTTTTTGCACATATTCAACCTCCTCTTAATAAAATCAAAGGTCTCTAAGCCCACATGACTAGTTACAAAGTCTTTTTAAACTTCCTCTTTTCCCAGATCTCTTATAGCATAAGATGCTAGCATTATGTCCTCTAAGTACACAACATAAACACATCGTTAGTCTCTCTTTGATTCTCCATTTATCATGTTCCTGTGTCAGGGTGCCTCCTTCATTTTCTGTGTGAAGATGCAAATACAAGCAAATGAGTGGCCCACAAGGCTGCTTTTTTTTTTTTTTTGAGACAAAGTCTCACTCTGTTGCCCCAGCTAGAGTGCAGTGGTGTAATCATAGCTCACTGCAACCTCAAACTCTTGGGCTCAAGCAATCCTTCTGTCGCAGCCTTCTGAGTAGCTGGGACTACAGGCGCACGCCGCTATGCCCCACTAATTTTTCTATTTTTAGTAGAGACAGAGTCTTACTCTTGCTCAGACTAGTCTCAAACTCCTGAGCTCAAGCAATCTTCCCACCTCAGCCTCACAGAGTGCTAGGATTATATGGGTGAACCATAGCACCTGGCCCCACAAAGCTGTTAAGATTTGGTTTTCCTTCCTTGAGATAAAAAGTCTTGTAGATAAATGGAAGAGCAATGCATAGAATATATAGAAAATCAAAAGAAATATATATGTTTGAAAATCCATAAGAAAATAATCTCATTCTAAATTTCCTTCTGATTGGTTCTGGTTGGCTTTTTACTGAAGTGTACATAAATACAGGATAGTCATAGCATCCTTTTGTAATTTTTAAACTTTTATATTAATATTTAAACATTATTAATTTAGCTATTATTCACATATTTAGTAATGAGTGATAAATTTTCTACCTCAAGAGCTAATCTAGACATCAGCTCTGCCAACCATATCACATAGTTCAAGATTTCATCAGTGTCCACTATGTTTTTGTTTGCTACACTATTTGAACTAATACACAGTGGATCATGTAACACAAAATTGTCTTCCACTCTAACAAAAGTAGTTTAAACTGTCCTCTCCAATCTGAACCTTTCATATGACATCTTGATTTGTTGGTACTTAACAGTACATAAGGATTTTGAACTCTATGCAAGAATACTGTAAGAACGAATTGAGGAATGTCGAGAACCAGATTGGTTATCACAACTCTGTAAGGTGATGTGGAAAGCAGGAAAGAGGACAAGAAATAAAAATTAGTTAAAGGCAAAATAAAGGTTTGGGCTACTAATTTTGTCCCAGGTTTAAAATGTAGCCCCTAGAATAGAAAACAAAAAGGTAGAATGATTACATTCACTTTCGTATTTATTGTTTTATTGAAAAATTCAGTCATAGTTCAGAGTACATTAAAATAAACATACCACGTCAAACAGTATGGTTATTATGTTTCTTCACCCTACTCCAGCACTTCTTACAATATATAATTTCTATTTTTTCTTCTTGTATAATTCCACTTGCCTTTTATTGTTGTTTCATTATATAAAAGGAAAATCTTAACATAGCACATTCCATGATAAGGGGTTTCATTCCAAGTTAAGTTTTCAAAAATAAGCTCTTCTTAAAGCTTCCATTTTAAACAGTCCTTGTATTCTAGTACAATGTAGATAACAGTCTCACTTGTATTTAGTACCAGTGCCCCTTGGCTCTCAAAATCTGTTATTTCCTGTTGTACCTCCTGAACACTTGAAGACAGGTGCTCTGTCTCATGTGTATTTGAATTATGAATGATAATTTCTAATGAATTCTAAAATGGTCATTATAGGTGAAAGGCTCTCGCTGCCACTTCCTCTTCCAACTAAATAAATATATTTTAATGTATTCCCAGTTGTGAAAAGCTTTCAATACATCAAGTATTTCCTTCTCTCAGCTTTTTTTTTTTACAAATTTTTACACTCTAAGAATCTTTGGCAAAGAAACCAGAGATGCATGCAGTTGCAAAATCAATGTATTTATTTTCTAGCATGGCTTTGTTAACTTTGCCTTTTTCTCTCAAAATAGTAAATACCCAATTATGGACTCAATGTTTAGCTTTTTTAACACCTTTTTTAAAAGCTAGATCAGCAGCATTCTATTTTACAAGGTTTTTGCATAAAAATTTGAACATGAAATCTTGTGAGAAATCATTTTCAGTTTTGTTTATTTAAATCATAGTGCCTTTCTTGATATTTTCTTAAAACTATACAAGAAGAAATCATTTATTTTCAGTAGTGGTCATAAATATAATTTTTTTGGCAATAAGTTACTGTTTCTTCAGTTGGAAGCTTAGTAGACTGTATGTCTGCATATGTTTGAGTGCACCAGGGTGCAGTTTCCCAGCTCTTGAGGGACTGAAAATAATTGTCTCATTCATCAACCCATTAGGATATGATGGGTTAAGGCTAGATTTGGTCACGTTGAAATAACAGAGCATAGAATTAATAAATTGCCTTCAGCTGGAAAACCTACACTAAAGCAAATCTGAAGAAGTGGGTTCAAAAGGGAGACAAGCATTATTGGTCTTTGCTTTTGTTTTTCAAGCACGATTTGATTTTCCTTTGGCTCAGGAAACTACTTTGGGGAGATTCTCTTCTCTTTTGTGTTCAGTTTAACCTAAAAATGTCCTCTTAAAAGCCAACATTTTAGGAAAATTTTTTTCTCATGATTGAGTATATTAAAATCTAGCTAAGCTTTGACATGAATTGTCGTTTTCTTTATTATTTTGCTTTCTATTTTTGTTTAGAGTTATTTCCTGTTCTAATCTGAACTTCAGCACTTAAACATCTTTATCAACCAGGTTTTTGGTGGCCTTTGCAGACTATGCTGGTATTTTTTAATTTAAGGATATGTAAGCCAAAACTTGGATAGCAGTGAGACATAAATGATTTATATCAATGTGTAACAGAGTTGTGTGTGTATGTTTAATAAAATGTATATTTATTCAGTATTTTCCTCAGCATTTTCTGGGCAAAGTAAAAATAGCAATACATAGTAAAAGGGCATATATTACCAGCAATGTGTTGGTAAATATAATTTAAAATTCAGAGAATATTTAATTTAATTCTTTCTTTGTTATGCAGAATAAATAAAGCTGAAATGCTCTTTGAACCACTGCTTTTGCTGTTGGACTCACTTGGTAACCCACCTTCTAAGGCTTCAAAGTATTTTGTTGTTGTTGTTGTTTTCCCTTCTTGCTTTTCATTCTGTAGCATGTCTCCTTAAGGAAGAAAAAAAAAAAACTATTCTCCTGAAAATACTCATTTATTGGTGCGTAATGAGTGTGGTAAGTACAATGCCTGGGACATCTTAACAAAGGTTAATTTCCTGCCACTCCTACCTCATGTGTTTTTGTTCCTTTAATGTCCAAGTTGGAAGAAATGAATTATCCTTTCAACACAGTTGGAATTTATTGTAATCTCTCAAACAAGTTTAATTATTAGTTTACTGATTGGCTAGTTTCGATGGTTTTATTATTTTTTGCTTCTGCTTTAAAATGTAGATCTGCATCCCTTTTTAACGAGGTGTTAAGACAGATTATTTCTCAAAATGTTTTAATGTCTGATTAAAGACTTGGCAGACTAACAAATCATTTCTTAGTAGCAGTAATATAACTCACATTTTTTTTTAGCACTTCAGCATTATCTCATTTAATCCTCATAACAAGCCCATAAAGGTACTATTTCTTAATCCAGTTTTGTAGTGATGAAACTGAGGCACGGACAGGCTAAGTATTTAATAATCTGCCCAAGGTCACCCAGGACTAAATGGTAGAACCATGATTTGAAACCCAAGCAGTCTGACTCCAGAGCCCATAGTGAAGCATTGGGGATTGGGGATGGGCGGGTAGTGAGAGACTGGTTTATGTCCACTTGTATATATTTGTATAAAATTGTGTAGTTTTGCATAAAAATCAATTATGTCATAGAGAAAGCATATTGCTTTGTTTTCATACCTCTCTTAGGTTAAAGTATCAAGAACAAGTATGCAACTTACAAAAAGGTAAAATAATACTGAGCACCTTTTTTGTGTAGAGCTAGATGTTATGTTGTCTAGTAACCTGTGCTAGTTCTGATTTTCCAGGGCTCCATACTTTTTGCTGATTGATTAGAATATTTTGCAACCTTATAAAAACAGTGATGAATTTGCAGAAAACTGATGGCAATGCATATGATTCTCATCCAGTAGCATTGCCTAATACGACACTAACCAGTTTTGCATTTGTTGGCAAATTTATGTTTGCGTTCCTTTGACTGATGAACTGTAAAATCTCCAGGTCCTTGATTTCTTCTGAATCAGTCTTAACATCTTCTTGGTTTCCTCATTAGTTGAGTCAAACCAAATCTTTGACTTCTATTTTTTTATTTTTGTATGAGAGTCATGGTTTCAACTTTTCAAAAACTTGTGATATTGCCAACATGAGTTCTGAGAGCTCCCAGGTAATGATAAAACCCTGTTTCCAGCCTCATACATCCTAAAGTTAAACTTTATAAAATAGAAGAGGATGCTATACATCTCTCTCTCTATATATACACACACACACACACATACACACATATATATTTCTTAAATATATCAGAAGTATAACTTGGTACTAAGATGTTAATATACTGAAAACTATACCTTGATAAGATTAATTTTAAGAACCACAGACAAATTTTGAGGTGCTGGCACTTGCTCAGTGGACGCTTGTCCTCATTTTGTTTACAAAAGCTTAACTGAATGTTTAATCTGAGTTCCTTTTCTGTGTAGCCATTGACTATCTGTGTTAAAGAGACTGATTTGTGAATGAGAAAGAAGAGGAATTTTAGATATTCCCAGGGATCTATCTGCATGACTAAGATACTTCTACAGCAGAAGAACACAGCTCCCTGTGGCCTGGAAGGTAAACAAAATCAACTTGTGATTTCAGACAAAGGGGTTTTCATGGATTCATGAAAATAGTAAATAAACTGGGTCTAATGAAACGGCATGGCATATTTAGATGGTAATATTTAGGGACCCTTTCCTATAATTATGAGCTACAGAATTTGGTGTCAATTACAAAATGTCCTTCACTGAGTAAGCGA